GTAGAGTACAGCTAGAGAACATACTAAGAATTCTTGTACGAGAAATTGATACAGTTGACATAGTTTTAAGAAAACAGTCTAGAAGAACTGGACACAGGGATAAGGAGTATCTGGGAACCGCAGGTGTCCAGGATGGGCTACAGTTAAACTAACTGATAAGTAGGAGGATGGGAGGATTATTATGTCTCTAGTGCTAACGAACCAATTAAACTGATATGAGCATCTACTGTGCATGCTTCAAAGGCTGCCAGCAGTGATGAAGATTGTTGGAAGAAGTAAATGACCCTCAGAGACCACCACCACAATTCTGTATGCATGCGGGGAACGTTCTCAAAAATTATGTAATCCATACATAGCCTCATGAATATGTATGTATGCCCAGGGACTATAAAAGGACGGCTTGTGTGGCAGCTGGGGACCACGTTAGGAGGAGATATCCCTGTGTCTCCCGGCACCGCAATAAAGAATACCTGCTTGTCAGCGTGAAAACTTTGTTGGCAAGTTTGTTCCTGGAGTTTTCTCCGAATCAAATATCAAAGCTGGTACAATGAAGAGGTTGCTGATAAACCACAGAAACACACCAGTATCCTCCAGTAAGGCTGGGTCATCTGCGTGCATTCTGGATCTCTCAAGCTTGCTGCTGGTTGCAGAACCTGTTGTTCTGATTTCACATGCCAGAGACCTAAATCTGCAGGCATACAGTTGCAAGCAGCAAGAAAAGGAGCCTATGAAATAATGACTAGAATAGTCACTGAATCATGGTTGATAGTGGTAATGGATAAGAGGATTAACAAAAGTCTTACAACAAAAGGCTTCAGAAAATTAATCTATTACATTTACCAAAATAAAAGGGAAGGATGTAGCAGGCAACTGGTCAGAGAAGGATCTTCAGCCACACAATGCTACTGCAAGTAGTTTTCTGTTACAAGAAGCATAAAATGAATGCACACAGAACAGAAACACAACACTGATCTTTCACAGTAAGAAGGATTCATCAGTGAGACAAGGGACCTGAGCACCAGGGTGAACCATGTATTTTGGTAAATCATGAGTGGCTGCTTTTGCAGAAGATGGTTTCTTAGATCAAACATCTGTGTATTGAACTTGAAGAGGGAAAGGATCTAAAGGGAAATCCCGAGACCTGTGCTAGACTGAAACCAGTCTAAGCAGTCATAGTCACATCCTGTGGCCATAAAACCCATGACTCAGTTAACCTGTAAACTTACCAGCCATGTCTGTGCGATTATTCCTGCGTGTACAAATAAAGCAAACTAAGCACTTGGTGCTACTATCCAGTGTGTGCAATTACTCCCTAGATACCATGTAGCTACTACTGCAGCAGGAAAGACGAGTTCCTGATTAAAACTTGAGGTCTATTCTGTGCTCTCCCCTATATGCAACAGGGCAAGTAATTCTGAGTGGCCAAGCCTGAATGTGTTGTCTGCTCTCTAGAAAGCTAAAATTAGCATGCTGCGGGTAAACAAATGTCTTAGAATCTTTCTGTGAAGGGGGCAACTCAAGTAAGAGCTGATCTGCTGCATTTCATTGCTCTTGTTCCATTTCCCCACCTGTAAAATGAGGATTGACCACAAAAAAAATAAAATTGGTAGCTTAGTTCATATGGGATGACTGTGAAGTACGTGTGATTTGCCTCCAGAGGCAGTGAGAATCATGGTATTATTGCAAGGGGTTGATAAAGAGAATGTCCTAAAAGGAGTTTACAGGGATAAACTTACCTGCAAAAAAGAGGAAAGCATGGGAACTAAATCTGGCAAAGGATGTGACAGGTAAAAGGAAGTGATTCCATAACTATGTAGTAAACAAAAGAAAGACTTAGGACAATGTGGGCATCTCCAGAAGCTAACAGGAAAACTGGCTACCCTGCATTTGGAGAAGGCTGAGGTTCTTGATGACATCTTTGCCTCAGTCTTCACTGGCAAATGCTCTGACCACACCACCCAAGTCCTGGAAGGCAGACGCAGGGACTGAGAGAATGAAGACTCCAGGCCCACTGCAGGAGAGGATCTGGTTTGAGACCATCTTATGAACCTGAACATACACAAGTCCATGGGACCTGATGAAATCCATCTGCGGGTCCTGAAGGAGCTGGCAAATGAAGTGGCTAAGCCACTGTCCATCATATTTGAAAAATCATGGCAGTCAGGTGAAGTTTCCGATGACTTGGAAATGGGAAATATAATCCCCATTTTCAAGAAGGGGGAAAATGGATGACCCAGGCAATTACAGACCAGTCAGTCTCACCTCTGTGCCTGCCAAAATCCTGGAGCAGATTCTCCTGGAAGGCACGCTGAGGTACATGAAAAACAAGAAGGTGCTTGGTGACAGTCAGAATGGCTCACTAGGGGAAATCATGTTTGATCAGTTTGGTGGCCTTCTAGGTTGGGGCTACAGAACTGATGGACAAGGGCAAGGCAGTTGACATCATCTACCTGGACTTGGGCAAAGTGTTCGACACTGTCCCACGCAACATCCTGGTCTCTAAATTGGAGAGACATGAATTTGTTGGATGGGCTACTCTGTGGATGAAGAACTGCCTGGATAGATGCATGCAAAGTGCTGTGGTCAATGGCTCAATGCCCAGCTGGAGACCAGTAACAAGTGGTGTCCCTCAGGGATTGGTGTTGGGACCGGTCTTGTTCAACATCTTTGTCAGTGACATGGACAGTGGGATTGAGTGCGCCCTCAGCAAGTTTGCTGATGACAGTAAGTTATGTGGTTTGGTTGACACGCTGGAGGGAATGGATGCCATCCAGAAGAACCTAGACATTCATGAGAGGTGGGCCGATGCCAACTAAACACTTGACTATTTGCATATATTTGCTTCCTTTCTGGTACCAGTACTACTTTTAGCCTCCTTACTTCTTTACACAGCTTATCCTGCAGTTGAACCAAACTGCTAATATCAGCCTTCAATAGCACAGTCAATTCCCTAAGCCTCCCATTAACCCTACTTGTACCCCAGGTCCACAGGCTAGAGCAGAAGGAACAGATGCAAGAGAACTGCTGTCAGCCTCTCCTCCCGTGTTTTGTTTTCTAGACGGATACTTGATTATGCAGATCACTATCATATGGAAGCTGAGGCAAGAGGACATTCACTGTACATGGGAGGAAGGACAGTAGCTAGATTGCATCAGCTTGTTGCTTTTTTTTTTTTTTACTTAAACTTTTTAGCTTTTTAGCTTTTTCTGGTGGCTCACACGTATAATGATACCCTGATACCCCCCTGCTACACAATTGCTGCCTCAGCTCCTAGTCATCACTTCTCATGGGCTGCGGTAAAACGAAGATGCACAAATCTTAAGACCACTTCTTGTTATTGAGGAAGTATGTTTATCTTCCACATTTTTGTTGAAATTCTTTAACTGGGGGAAGAAAAAGGGAATCAGTCTGCTGCAAAGGGTCTACTTCCACATCTATGTTTCATATGAAACAGAAAGAACATATATTTTATTAGTATCCTTTTCCAAATCACACATAAACGATGGAAGTAACTATGTTTCTCAAAGTACAGGAGCTTCATTTCTCCACACAGCACATTATGCTTATTCCTACAAGGTTTTCAAGGTAAACAGCATTACATACTGAGGTAAGAAATAAAAGCTAGATGTTCTTGCTCAGTTTCGGTTTATTAGCACAGAAGCTTTCTTATCTATTGAGCAAATACACTGTGCAGGATGGCAAAGCTAGTTCAATATACTGGGGAAAAATAGAATCATAGAACAGTTAAGGTTGGAAAGGACTTAAGATCACCTAGTTCCAACCCTCCTGCCATGGGCAGGGACACCTCACACTAAACCATGTCACCCAAGGCTCTGTCCAGCCTGGCCTTGAACACTGGCAGGGATGGAGCATTCACAACCTCCCTGGGCAACCCATTCCAGTGCCTCACCACCCTAACAGTAAAGAACTTCTTCCTTATATCCAATCTAAACTTCCCCTGTTTAAGTTTTAACCCATTACCCCTTGTCCTATCACTACAGTCCCTAATGAACAGTCCATCCTCAGCATCCCTATAGACCCTGTTCAGATACTGGAAGGCTGCTAGTAGTAAAACTATGAGATTTAAATTTCCCAAACCTCATTTTTGCTCCCATTATCTCAGTGACTCTCTCAACTTTAAACAGAGCCCAAGTAGTTGAACCTAATCACTTCTAAACAAAACAGACAAAACTAATTTTTTTTCTCAGGTGGAACATTCCAATTATACTCAACTGCCCAAATATAAATATTCATAGAATCACAGAATAGTTAGGGTTGGAAGGGACCTTAAGATCACCTAGTTCCAACCCCCCTGCCATGGGCAGGGACACCTCGCTCAAACCATATAATCCAAGGCCTCGTCCAACCTGGTCTTGAACACTGCCAGGGATGGAGCATTCACAACCTCCCTGGGCAACCTATTCCAGTGCTTCACCACCCTAACAGGAAAGAATTTCCTCCTTATATCCAATCTAAACTTCCCCTGTTGATGTTTTAACCCATTACCCCTTTTCCTATCACTACAGTCCCTAATGAAGAGTCCCTCCCCAGCATCCCTATAGGCCCCCTTCAGATACTGGAAGGCTGCTATGAGGTTGCAAATTAACCCTTCTCCACAACTTTTACCATTATACAAAGTAGCCTCTTTATCCACCACAAACCAGAAGAAGCTATCCACGAAACCCAGCAGCCTCAGCCACGAAACAGAAACCTAGCATAAGTACTGCTAGGTATTTTTGGCATTGTGCTAAGCAAAACATTTGTCTGTACACATGAAGGACATCAAACTCTGCTGGCAGAGGCTGAAACAAACCTTCCTAGATTTATGTAGAAAATATATAGGTTTATTATATAGGGACAAATTTTTCTTCTCATATGAATTAGGCTGTCTCATTTCACATGAACTCTGTAAGAAAGTGATAAAAACCCACCAGCTATGCTAAGAAAATGTCCTGCTTGTATGTTCATCCTGATTAGGAAATTCACAGTTGCAGTGAAAATATTTAACATTAATAAGTGAATCTGTGATTATATTGTTTTGTCCAGGCGAGGGAAAGCTAACAGAAACATGAATATTGATGCTAAGATTAATAAATCCTGGAAAAATAAAGTTGTAATAAATTTGACCTAGAAGGTTGTCAACTAGACTTTGCCTGCAAGATCAGTCATAATCAAATTTGTTTTGAAAGTCCACATAGATGATGAATCAGCTGTAATGAAGGGGCTGGGTTTCTTTATCAATTTCTGAGAGTTCATTGAAAAGAAGCATACGTAGCAGGAAAGCCTCATTAGCTTTACATGCCTCCAAACTCTCCGTATCTGCTCAAACAGCAACACTGTTGGGAATGCGATCTGGGGAAAGGTAATAATAAGGAAGCTTTTTTTTCTTGTTGCGCTCAGCGATGGCGTTGACAATCTCATCCAGATTCTTGCGGAATTTTACCATAGCCTCTTTCACTGGCTTCTCCACAAAGTGTTCATCTGGGTACACGCCTAGAAACAGCTGATTGAAAACAACCAAGACATCATGCTTTGAGAAAGCAAAGGCTACTCTGTTTCAATATTATGCCATCAAGCAGAACAACACCCAGAGCCCTACACATGCTACTATTAAAATAGTCCTATCAACATTTAAGCTAGCCTACAACTGGCACTGCCAAAGAAAGATGCTGTGCCATCCTCCCTCCACCTCTGGCTGCTTCTGTCCATCCCTGCATCTTTCTGTAGAGCTGGTTTGTGTATATGTGGCATCTCCTCCACCTGCAGGGAGCTCACACACTGAAAAATAAGCACTTTTATTCAGGCTAGTGGTCAGCCAGATCAGCTTCCTAAGCATAGCCACTCAAGCAATTGTGCTGCTACAGAAAAGGACAGCATGGGGGTGGGGGGGGTGTGTGTGTGTGTAATGAACAGCTGCAGATGAAAATGGAAGATGACTGTTTCTTTTAGTGACAGTGGAAGTTTCTGTTAACTTCAAACTGTCCTTCAGACTTCAACCTGACAGTTGCTTTAGTCAGCTTAGACCCTAAGGGTGCCCTGAATACCACATTGCCAATATGCATACTGGCATATTACCTGCTTTAAGTAACTATTTTCCATGATACCTCCTATTCAACAAGTTTCTCAGCTGAAATCTGCTTTCTTCTTAAAGGAAGACTTCATCTGGAGTACCTTCTGTCCATCATCTTCCATTTAAGGATGGAAATACATCCAGACAAAGCCCTTGGGTGAGACAACCAAGGACCTACAACCTCATTTTATCATGCTTGCAAAGCCTACATTAGGCTTGTTTTGTTTGCACTCCACACCAGCCAGACACAAGTCACAGATGTAGGGCATATGACATGGGGGCAGACTTTCTAAAGGGACAGGACAAGGGGACACAGTGGTGCTGTACCTTCTCCACCAGCACTGCTGGAGCAAGGAGTGGAGAAAACCCTTGTGCCTCTGCAGCCCTCTTCCTCTCACAACAGTATCCTTACTCAGCAACACCGTGCTTGAGTTTAGAAACGTTCCTTTTGGCTGAAACACAGCCTCAGAGTAAAAATACAACTTCTCACTCAAAGCTGGTTTGTATCTAGCAGAACAAGGGCAAACTGACACATCTCCGCAGAAAGGCAAACATGGTCAAGCAAAAAGCAGCACTACAGTATCACGAGTCCACAAGCGCCATGGCTCCCATGATCTCACCTATATCTCTACAACTTAGAGCAGTTAAGTTGACTTACTTCACTGTCCTGGAATTGGCTCAAGGCCCACACAGCTCCAAGATGCCAACAAGAACGTCCCCTGTCTGGGAGACTCTCCACAATTTGCTCAATGGTGACTGTCCCCTTTTCTGTTGGAGGAGGGCAGCGCATTGTTGGTGGGGCATTGGGAATCCAGGAACACCAGTCATACTGCAGAAGAGCACAGGGAGAAGATACAGTGGTTGGTATTTTGGAACACTGCAAAGAAAATCAGGAGTCTTGGCACTAGGGAGTTTGCTTCTGTAATATGAGCCTCTGAGAAAGAGAAGGCTAAAAGAGAAACAGAAGACTAAAGGACAGAGAGATGGTCTAGAGAAGGACTGAAGGAGACAAGGAAGTCTACTGCCTTGCTCAGGATCTCACAAAGGAGAGAGCTGGGTTTTCTAGATGGGAGTAGCTATTCTGCTAACCACAGGCATGTGCCACACAGCGCAGATTCACCAGCCAGGTTAAGGACTTAGCTATTTTATTAAGCAAAGATCTCATGTTAATCTGAGGTGGTCTCTAATAAAAAGCCTGTTATTCATAAAACATCCTTTCCTCTAGTTGCTTTCTCCTGCAAAATTTGCTCTGAGAACATGCCTACAGTACTGTGGTCAGGCAGTAAGAGAGGCAAAGGATACTGGTGCATCACGAAATATGGCATGTCTGAGCACCAGGCTGGGAACTCAGAATCAGTTCTGGCCTGCTTCAGTGCTGTGAGATGGTGATGTCTTATTTTGCCTCAGATACAACACTGAGTTTTGCTGCCATCTGAGATGCTACATTTACTGTAATTATTTCTTTTCCAAGCACTTTTTAATTACCTTCATACATGTTCCCTGTCTTGCCTGAGGGAAAGTCCGGTTTTCAGCTGTGTGCTATAATTACACAGTGCTCAGTCTGTTCTCTTCATCGCACAACCATCTTCTACCCTCAGCCTTTTCTCACCTGAACTCTTCAGCATTTCTGAAAGGCACCTTAGCAACTCATTTAAATGCTTAAAAAAATTGTTCCCCATTATAAAATCATTAAAACTAAAACATACAAGTTAGAACTCCTAAACTTGAACTTTGATGCATATTTAGGACTCAAAATGCCATTCTCATCTTCCATTTCTACAGGCTTCATGTGGATTTGCAGACAGCTCTGCTGTTATTTTGACCAGACAGAATAATGTAACGTCTTTACATCTACTAAAAAAGGCTTCTCAGACCTTGCTGTGGTAGATGGACCTCCCAGCCCAGAAAGAACAGGCTTCCCAGAAATTCCTACCTGACCAAAATTCACAGCTGCATGCTGGGCCGATGTGGTGAATATTATCACTGTGAGATATTCTGCTAGCTTCTCTCGTGTCCTGATCATTTTAGGAAATCCTAAAGGAGGGAGAAGAAAAGCTTAAGTAACCCCGCTACCCAGTAGTAATCAGCTACTCAAAAGGCATAAATTAGATGATTGTGCAGCAGTCACCGCGAGCATTGTCTTTCTCAATCTTGCTGTGTGATCTAACAGGAGCTGCTCAACCTCTTCATATCTCGAGTCTCCAGCCATAAAACCAGAGTGATCCTGCCTTACTTAGTATAGACTTGTGAGGCATCACCACTATTTGCAAAATACATGATGTTACTTAAGGGAAAGACAAAATATAATTATACCTTTGAAAAACACTGTATCCCTGTCCTCACACCCTACCTACCCTGCAGCAAGGAACCCAGACTGTCCACAGAGCACGGGCCTCAGATGTTCCCTTTTTCTTCAGTCTGCAGTGCAAGCAGGGAAGATTCATGCAAAGGAGGAAATGATCATGTGCTTCTATTTATAAAGGTCCGAGACTCAGCAATCAAGTGCACTGTGAGGAAGAGTGCAGGGAGAGCTTATATGCTCAAGCAGGAAGTGAGGAAATGAGAACTTCTGAAAGAGAAACAACAGAATAAGGAACAGAAATAGCTGAATAAAGCTGTCTTTGAAAAGGAGTAATCAAACAGAGCTATAAAGAAGGGAATAGGAACCCAAGACATGAGGGACTAGGGAAATATTTTGCTATGAAGGTCCCCCCAAGCCTGTATCTCTCCTATGCCCACTACATCACAGTCCTGTGCTGTTCTCCCTGTCCCAGCCTAATGTGACTACAGGTTCCAGGATACACAAAGACCTGTCAGCACCTTGGGATGAGCTGCCCCTGCTCAAGCTGCCTGTGCCAGCTAATTCATATCCCACCACCAATGTGGTGCAGCTGTGGACTCAACCTGAGAGGGGGAAGAGGCACATGGCAGCTCTGGCCAGCCACCATTCCATCCTGTGTCTTACTATCATAAGCACACTGTGCTTGTCTTTAAAGGGGCTTGGCATGCTCCTAATCAAAGCAGCCCTCCTAGGGCAGTAATGAAGGTGGGAGGGAGAGCCCCAGCTCTAACAGCCTTTCCCCCATTTATCCTCCTTCCATTCTTATATACCCAGCCAAGTCCCACTGCTCTCTGCTGCAGCCCTTGGGGTGGCAGCATTGCAGACAGGGGTGCTGCATGCCTGTCAGGTTTCCCATCTCTAGTGGCAGATATGCCACCAGTTGTGCTTTTAGCATCCCACCCTGGCTGTAGCCCTGGTAAGGCTCAGTCCTTGTCCCATACCAAGATGCCTAGGTCAAACATGAAGTTCCTACTACAAGGCCATTTCTACACCTTTCCTAAGAGATAAGTAGACAAAAAAAAATTTACAGCAAGAAAATGTTCTCCAATACTTTGCTTGTCCAGGTAGGTACAGCACAGGAGGCTCTTATATACCAGTGCATGCTGGTAATAAGAGGAAATATAGTTTTGCCTGGAGGTCTCACACACAAACATTTGTACATGCAATGCCAAGCCATCTGTCCCAGGTCACTGGCCAAGAGGTGTTTCCAGATTTAAGTCAATTAGGAAGTATGAAGAATCCCCATGCGCCTGTATAGATTCCTGAAAATCTGGTTGGACAAAATGTGAATGGAAAAAATCATATGTAGAGAAAGGCAGGAGTGTTAACTTAGGTGGGAAAACAGAACCATGCTATGGGTGAGAGCTCCCACAGCCAAGTAATGGTCTGCAAGAGGCAAGAGGCAGTAAGAAGAGAAAGAGCAAAGGAAAATATATATTGGAGAGAATTATGAGTATCTTCTCTTGAACAGAGCAGAACAGCTCAATGATGACACAGATGATGAATAAATGCAAAGTGCAGCAAGATACTCCTGGGAAGATTCTTACTCGTTCTCATTTAGTGCAAGGTTTGGAGTAGAGGATTCAGGGGGGTTTTGCTGCTCCTTGTGATTTCTATCAGTCTGCTTGGTGGTTCCAACAGCACATACAGATGGCCCCTCCCCTAATGCTTAAAGCATGGGCAGACAAGATCGAAGGACCAATCCCCAGTGTACAAACAGATTACATGAGTTGCCCCAGCTCACTGTGAGAATCTGTGGCAAAGGAAGAAGCTGTCTCCTGAGGAAGGGCCTGATCCGGGGTCTCATCCATAAAACTGAACATCTTTGGGCAAAGAGGGGATAGAGTCTCCAACAGTTCAAGGTATGCTGTGCATGCAGCACTGCTGTCAGCAGGGACTCTACAAACTGCAGACCTGGCTGGGCCATCATATCTTACCTGAGGACTTCACACCTCTCATCCCATAGACATAAATATCTTTGGTGAAGGCCTGGAGCTCCACATCCTCACACACCACCTCATCACTCTCATAGTAGATTTGAATGACATCCTCTACGAAACTGTGGACACCAGAACAAATGAACAGAACAAATGAACAAAACAAAAGAAAAAGGAGAAAGCAAGCATGACATTCTCTGAAGACCTTCTACCAATCTTTCAGAGGAGGCAGATGCTGCACAGGGAAAGAGAGAAGGGCAAAAGCAGGTCTCAGCACCCTCCTACCTCCTTCCCACAAGCAGTGTGGATGCACAGAGGCAACTCTGATTCAGTTCTGACTGCAGCATTACTTTCTTCCCCAACAAAATAGATGCTGGACCACACTGCATCCCCTGAACAGTCCTGTGCACTTTGTTGTCTTGTTTGAGGCTTTACTTCTGTTTGGACCTCTGTTATTACATCTACATCCTTTTCTTCACTTGATACAGACTCCCTTTGCTATATCAACAGGGGTTCCCAAACTGTGATAGTAACACCATCCTCTGTGTGATATTCCAAAGCTGCTCCTGAATACCATTAAAATAGCGGATCCCTTCCTACTGCACATCCTTTTCACAAAATTCCAAAGTGGGGTTGGCCCAGGAAAGTTCTCTTGGGGAAGAACAGGTCTAGAGCTTTCTCCTACACACTGCATACAGCAGACATCTCTTCCCTATTCAGTTCCTCTTCTCAAAATCCCTCTTTGTATAAAAGCTTCCCAGGCTAACCTACCTCAGAAAGGCTCTTAAAACATTAAGATAACAAATAGTTCTGAAAGCATTAAAATAGGTAACCGTGATTTCCTGAAAATTTAAATTTTGTGACTGGCTGGTTAACTGAGATATTAACTGGTATGGTGAGATACTCTGTTAGCTCTGCAGGTACTTACAATCTCTTGCTAAATATTTTGACAACCCCTAGGACGAAACATTTGACTGTGGAAGGTGACTGATAGGATTAAGAATTGTCATCCAATACAGATTTCTCCCCTAGTAAGCTATAAATGTGTTGCAGTTCAGAGACTTTTACAAATATGTCAATGTGGCTTCTATTAGCCAACTAGGTTAAATGTTGTTTCTGAGGCAGACAAACAACTTCATAAACACCGAGAGTTTAAGTAATTTTGGCTTCCAGAGGAAAGAAAAGAAAAATCCTGCAACAGACAGATATAAAGCTGCCCCGCATAAGCTCTGCCTCCAAAACCTGCGACCTGTGCCAAATGCATGCAGAAGGTAATCCTTCTCTTACACAATGGCAGCAGTTTAGAACCCCTTCCATGCAAATATAAATTAGTATATGAAGTGTTGATAAGCCTCTTGGGTTGGAATATCTTTGGGTTGGACTATATCTCTCTGCAGTTAGATCAAAAATAAGATGAGTGTTAGAGAAGGGGTTTAAAATTTTGCCATGTGAACCTCATTGCTTCTATAGAGACAACTTTATCAGGTTTCTTAAATCTAGGCCATCTACTACATGTGAAACAATGCTGGGTAAAGAAGTTACTTCATCAGAAGAGTGGAGACTGACACCTCTATGTAGTGTAGGAGGTTCATGGTGACTAGACACATGCATGACCATGGCTTCATGGGTCAGAATATCACACACTCAAAAGGGTACCATTCACATAATTTATAAAGTTGATGATTCACTTATGAAGAATCTCTCAGCCAAGGTTGAGCCAGTGTAACATCTTCCTCTAGTTGGGTAAACACCCACAAACAGTCAAGCTAAATTGAGTTGACTAATTACTACCTGGTATTTTAAGAGGCATACCTCAATCAGCAAAGAAAACACAGGAAAGAGAAAAGGGATAAAAAATGGACTACATCAAGAAAACAACAACAGAAAAGTTATAGCTTCCTTTTCTCTCATATGGGCAGCAGCAATTGCAGGAAATATTGCAAGAAAACCCCTTGCCAAAACACAGAAAACAGAGATGTACTCAACACTTTAAACATTATGTTTGCATTATAAACCTTCTACTTTACATACACGAAGATCTGATTTTTAATGAACATGTTTTTCAAAAGCCATGTGACCAGAAACAGCTGCATATTTAGCAAACAATTTATGCCATGCAAAATACTTTGCTTGTTAAATTGCATGCTAGTGTAGAATAAAAAACAAATGAAACATTCCATTCTGAGGCAGTGTTTCATATCTGAAAAGGAGCCACATCTGTGTGGTCAAGCAGCCTTGCAGTATGTCTCCTGACTCAGGAAGCTGCCCTTCCTGACAAAACATGGGCCTTATAATTTTAAGGCATTTTAAGAAAGGTTTTGCTCAAATCAGTTGATGCCTAATTTTTGAGTTTTATAACACAGCTCTCATGCAAGGCAAGTTTACATTTCCACTCCACGAGAATCTTGACGAGCTCATGTGGCTGAGTCAGGGAGATGGGCTCTCAGTCTGTGCATAGCAAAAAGAAAAAAAAAGCTAACTAAATTCCCTTTGCAGGGCTAAATTCCAACTCACTGAACTCTGTGAAATCCCATAGAGGGGCACATTCTTCAAAGGGTCTTCTGAAATACAGAATGCAAGAAATTAAGGCTAAAAAAATACAGCCGAAATTCAGGGTCTTTCAAGGGTGTGCTTTACTCTTAAGTATTTCTCAGATGAGATATGCTGGATGGAAAAGGCACCATGTGACTAAACAGCCCAGGTGCCATTCACACAGCTGTGGTGAAGAGCAAAGTGAGCAGAGACCACAAAAACGAAGCTGTGTCTCTGTGATAGTGACTTTATTAGCCATTTCTAGAACTAAGGTCTCTTACCTCTTTACAGCCTCCCACACTTTAATGCCATCATCCCGGTAATAGTAGTAGGGGATATCTTCTTTGCTGTCCATCCCTTTAGCTTTGATCTCCTCAGGGAAGCAGAGGGAGCTGTAAGTCAGATCCTTCATTGCTTTCTGCACCATTTGTACATGTCCTCCTCCACCTGTAGCATTTGCCTGCAGTAAGAATGGCAGGACAGGAACAGTAGGAGATTATGTTCACTTTGTGCCATGACTCGCTTTCCAGATTTGTATGAGATAGTATTGAAAATGCTGATGATTCTATTGTTCTAGGAGAACAACACATCTCCACACAAACAAGTACCAAACTGCAGAGATCTACGGCATCTGTGCATGTTGAATTCAGAGATTTCACACCTCTCCCATGAATCACTCTAAATATTCACATTTTCTCCATAGGTACAGCACCTGCTTATAATGGAATACAGTAATAAGGTACAGAAACACCAAAGTATTTAACCCAAAGTACTTTCTGCCAGCCCTACGCTCCAGAACCAGTATGTGTGTGTAGAAAGGCAGCCAGCAGTGTGTTGAAACAGGGCTTTTGCTAAATCACTCACTGCTACTTCAGAGTGGTTTAGGAGAAAGTGTTTAGGGATGCAGGCTACCATTAGCCACCCTGAAATTTAAGCCAGGAGATCAATCCTGCTGGGTGGCTACTAATGAGGATTGCCCAGGGTTTTAATATATATTACATATGGAAAACACAGCCTGTCCATAACAAACATCACTGCAAAAACCTTAGGATAATCACTGCACAAAAGCTCCCAAATGTTGCTTTTCTATCATATGACGCTAGTGTTGTAGCAGTAGTAAGCTTACACTTACTGTCCTCCAACTGGTTGTTCACCTGCACTGGAACCAACAAATTCAGGAACTCCAGGATCCCCTCTGGCAGGTCTTATTGATACACTGAAGGGATGGGAGTACCTACCAGGTCTCCATAGTCAGCAGTGGAATACAGAAGACAAGGAAGGTGCCTGGTTTGAACCTCTCTTTTCTCCTTGGGTAAAAACTATGGAGCATTAAAGCTATTTTTGGTTTGGTGTAAGAGGGACAGAGTTGTTCTGGAACACAGGTTCCCTCTTTGAAACGACTTTTGAACCCTCCCCAAACTTCCCACTTCCTATTATCATGTTGTGACAGAGACTGCTGTGTGACAACCTGCTGCGGTTCCTAGATGCAGCATGCCATTTCCGGGGTAGCCAAGGGAGGAAGAGCTGGGTACACGTTAAAGACCAGTGCAGGCAAATTTAGATGTTCATATTTGACGTATGAGCTGCACCAGAGTCCATGATATATGACTATGTTTCACTGACTCAGACAAATCTGAGTTTTAATTCTAGCAGATCTGCAGATCTGCTTTTTATGGCAATTCAAGAAGAAAGTCCAGATCTACGTGTTGTGGGCAGTAAAACTGTGGACTTAGAAATCTATCTTGTCTCTATGTTTTTCTCTGATACAACTTTCCTCTTGCAATCACAAATTCTTTTGCTCACCACCATGCCCCGAGATGAATAACTGAGTACTTAAAAAAAACCTGGGGACTTAACAGTGTGCATACATGTGCAGGGATGTGTGTGCACATTATGTTACCTTGCACTCCCATATTCATACCCAAAGTCACATCAGCTGTGAGTGAGATACTGACTCACTACTGACATTGGCCAGTTCTGAACTGGCTACTTAGAGAAGAGGTAAAGGATAAGATCTTTAGAACAGCAAGGCACCAGTTCTGTGTGCCAGTTTCTCAGGTGATACTAGTTATGTTTGCCCTTCAGTAGAAAAGTCAAGAAATAAGGCAATATGTGATGATTAAAGGATAAAAACACATATGGAACAATGAAGAATAATGAAGATTAACAAAAGGGATTATTTACCTTGTCAAAAAGACCACATTCACAGATAAGCTGTTCTCGGGCTTTGGTATTGATGGCTATCGTGAAGCGCATGTGTGGCACCAAGAGCTATGAAATGGGACAAATAATAAAAGAAATCAAATTCTCTGAATTCAACAGCAACCATGTGTAAAGTTTGAAGTCCTGGAAGTCCTGGTGGCTTAGTTGCACATTGCCTTGCCAGGCAGCCAACCAAACTATCTCAGATGAGCTATCACTAGGACAAACTAATGTGATAACCACCCTGACCCACATATATCCAATCATGCAAGAACCAACCTTGAAGAGGGGATGTACAGCAGGCAGCTGCCGGAACATAGCTATGCTGAACACCTCTGAGACTAAGTGTGTCCGTAAGAGATGGGTCACCGTTTGGTGGATGTGGAAATCTGATGAGCGAACCCAGATTTTAGCTAGCAGCCAGTCATATGTGGCATCTGAAGGAAGGAATATGGGATTGTCCGGCCCAGGCTTTTGACCAAGCTGAAAGATGTAAGAAGAATACGAAACTCAAGTCATTCATGTTTAAGATGAGACAATAAGCAATGTGACAATGTGTCCCTTTACCCTGACAATAAACCCACCTGGATTGCAACAGGTACAATTTTATTCTCCAGATTCTTATACAGCAGACAGATGGGTGCAGCCAAGTACTGCATTGTGCATGGGTCTGTTTTATTGGCATCCACACCATCCAGCAGCTCATAGTCCACAATGAAAATGTTTCCTTGCTGGGGAGGGGAAAAAAGATGTATGATGTGTTTTAACAGAGTGTAAGCACCAAGGCTTAGAACAAAGATCAGAAACTTTTGACCAGAGCCTGGCTTGTACCCTGTGGTTATGAGTGGCCACTGGCCCACCCTTGCTCACAGAATCATAGAATGGTTTGACTTGGAAGAGAACTTAAAGATCATCGAGCTCATGAAGAGTTAGGGATGATGCCACTGAGACAGCAAGCACCTTTGGGGCAAACCACCTGACTTGGGGCTGCTGAGTCCAGTAGAGAGCTCTTTTGAGGTCCAGGGCAATGATTTTGCTGCTTGCCCTCTCACTGCCCTGAAGATCTTGAACTCCATCATCCCATAATTACTGCAGCCACCCAACTTAGAGCCATACCTTTACTTCCTCCTCCAGGGTTAGGTTCCTCTCCAGACTGCATTCTACCATATCCGTAGTCACAGGCAACTTCTTGGGTATCTCTGTGCATCTCCGGATCAGCACAGGATTGCATCCATTCAGGAACTGGTAGCCAAACATAAAATCTTCCTTCCAGTGCTGCATCACATATTCTAAAGGAAAAACAAGCCTGCAGCATCAATATCTGTGTTACATCAACATCCTAATGCATTGTAAAATTCCCCCTTTCCTCCAACCTTTTCTTATACTGCACTGCAATGTTGACTAAAGAAAGTAGCAAGAAAAAGATTTAAAAGGTGCCATAGAATTTTAAGAAAAATCACTTGAATAAACAATGTAAACTTTGTTTTTCACTTTAAGAAGGATTATATTGATAATAATTTGTCTCTCAGTGTACAAAAGCGATAGGAGCAAAATATTCCAGTCCTATAAAAAATACTCTCTCTGTTTGAAGACCACCTTCTCAGGTCTTCTATGATATTTTAAAATCTTCATTCTTCAGATCTCAGGGTATGCAGTACAGAGGGATCAATCCAAAAGAGATGGCATAGCCAGGAGAAGGGAAATACAGAGCAACATGGGTAGGGAAAGCAGTTGCTGGAGCAATTCTCTTAGCTGGAGGTGGGTGAGGGGACAGTTGGGGAAGGTTTTTGATTTTGACTTGATAAAACTCCTCATTCCTTCGTTCATTGTTTTGTTGTTTAACATGGTTTTTACCTCTGCTTATTTTTCAGTTCCTAACACAAACCCAGATTGACATGTCTTCTTAATAAAATGCTAGTCTTGGCCACTCCATCTCTTTATTGTTACACATGTAGTACCACTGGATATTTTCCACAATTGCAGTGTTCTTTTTCCTAATGGGATGTCGCCAGTTTAGTCTACAAGTTCAGATTCAGTAAATATGTGATCAATGTAAAAAATCCCATCGGTATCTTCATTGGAAAAATGAAACAAGTAAAATTTTCCACTATTGCCTAATTTTAGACAAGGCAGAAGTTTTTCTTAAAGCAGTTTTTCTACAAAGGGTGAAGAGATGAAAAAGGCCTGAAAGAATGCAGTGATAATTTAAATTATGCCAACATTACAATGCTTTCTAACAGATCGGAAAAAAGTTAAGTTTACTTAAAGCTGACATTTACATCATCTCTGTCAATTGTATAATGGGTTTGGAGCTGTATCCGAAGTCTACACCAAGCAAAAAATGACTTGGACAGAAACTGCATTGCTGAAAACCACCTTGAACTACCTTCTCCATTACCACTGTCTCTGCCAAGGCTTACAAATATGCAGGTGCAGAGTTGCATTAACATAAATGTTAATCGTTGATCTCAGATAAAACTTACAGAATTGGACTTTTCCTCGTGAGTATGAAAATGTAATCAATTAAATTAATTGCAGATCATATCTAATTCTTGTGTTAAAAGTACTTAATGAAGCAATCTTATTAAATGGAACAAATTGCTTTAATCAGTTTTTATTAGCTCTGGCCACCTTGTGTGCTTTATTTTATACCCAAGACCACAGAAATTACTCTTATGTCTGTTAACTGATCCTTAGGCAGCCTGAAGAGGAGAAAAACTCCAGAGCAGGAAGGAAAAGTATTTTCCTCTGCAGAATCTGAACAGGCTGTTCACACATATTTGAGGAGCCACACATTAACCAGTTTATAGTACCTGTGTATCTATTCTATCAAATAATATAGAAAAGAAAAAGTAAAATAATGTAACCATGGGGATTGATGTACATTTTGTACTGTACATTAACAGCAGAAGGTTGGGTCTGGCTCAGAAATCAAAGGCTTCCCAGCCTTGCTTTACAGAAATAACACCAAGAACTACAAAACCCATGTGTCCACATTTTTTTACTGGGTTTTCAAGTAACTGCTAAGATTTCCTTATTGAAAAATGTTAAAGAAAAGAAGTGTTTCATCTTTGATATGTTAATACTACATCAATGGAGTTTCTAACAGTACAAAAGATACTGCAGAAACTGAATATCTCTGAATACAAAAGTGAAATTCACACTTTTAGAGAGGGATTTAGTATTCTAGTAAGAAGATATGAGTATGAAAAGGCAAGTAACAGCATTTAATGCAGTATCCACAAAAAACCCCACAAACTAGCATGTAATTCTGACATGTCAGAAAAGAGATATAATTTTGAATAAATGTCACAAGCCTTTTAAGGCCAAGCAAGCACTTATTTTCAGGAAGTATCATGATTCCTCAGGTTGTGGTCTGATGGCCCATCCTGACTGCAGCTGGACCAGGTGAGGAAGTTACAGCTCCCAGGTCATTCTCTCTTTGCAACCCATCCCCCGATCTGTTGGCCTAACAGCATGGGCTTTCATGCCTGCAAAGCGTTCTGCCAAAATGACCAGCATTGGGAAAAAATTACCACTGAAAAGCGTTTGAGCTGCCCCAGGTCACTGACACAAATGGCCAGTGAGAAATCACTGAGAGGAGCTACAGGCGCAGTTATGACTGCAGAACTGAGGTAGGGGTACCCTTCCTGTGTTGGGACAGCGTTGAGAAGCCAGGACTGTTACCAGCAGTGCAACCAGGAGTGAGCACATGGCTAGGATGTTAGGCAACAGCCTTTGATCTGGTCTGTGTAAGAGGCAGAAGGAGTCACCCTTGTACTTTCCTTTAGCAGTGAACATTTCCAAATGTGCCTTTTTTGAGATTTTCCATGTATTTAGATGGCTGAAGTGCGACATACACTTAAAAAAATGCCTTAACAGCTAGTATGCTCTGAAAAGCATTTCCACTAAACTATTCTAGGCTAGATGCAAAATACTTATGAAAACTTCTCCTGTGGGATTTGCACGTTTCTGAAAATACATTTCTAAAAGTCAAAAGGGACTATGATGCCCAGCTGGGCTGAACTCCAGTATGGCTCAGGACAGAGAGCACCACTGAGCGACTCCCAGAGATTTTCAATTCATGCCAGATCTTCACTGCTTGCTCTTGCAGGCTGCTGCTGTGATCAGCAGCCTGAAATTAGAGTTTGTTTATGAAAAACCATGGGAGACTGAAAGTGCGGGTAAGCCACTTGCTAATCTTATCAGATATATACAAGACAACTAATCAGTAATTCTATGATGGAAACATGAACAAATGCTGATAAACACACCAGAGATTGTGTTGCTGATTCTGACAAAGATCTTCTCAAAATCTGCAAAATCACTCCAGGAGGACTGGAACATGTGCATGAAGCGGTTGATACAAAGATTCTCCATCCTGAAAATAAAACAAAACTCCTCTGAAAAAAAACCACCAAATACCAAAAACAATATCCAGCTTCCTCAATATTCTTCCCCATTCTTTTCCCCCCTTTTACATACCTACACACAACAATCTTTTCAGTGGTGGAATGTGAGATTGGTCACCCTACAGAATTAAACTTCCTGGTTATACCTTTACACCCAAGCCTGAAATGCATCTCAAACACCCATTTACTAAATTCCACTCTAGAGTTGTTCTCAGCAGCCTACAAAAGCAGTGCTTTAAGACCTATGTCACTGTTGTGGTTTGAACCCAGGACAGTCACATAAAAATTACAGTCAGAAAAACTAGTGCTTTACACACCATCAGAAGTTAGCATCAGCTGAGATTGCTAAAGTCATTATTAGCACCAGTTCAGAAAGAATAGCATAGTACAGAATGGACTGTTTCTGCTGCCATAGATGGCAGTCAATGTTAAGAAGTGCCTGGAGGCATGTTAGTAAGTAAAACTCAGGCAACTGTCAAGCCTGGAACAGGAGATGACCTCCCCAGAGGTTTCTTCGCATCTGACAGGGACATAGAATGATCATACAAGGATCAAAGGGAGGTTAACTAATGAGCAGGACTTTCTGGATTGGTACTAGGTGTCTGAATCACAGATGAACTTCAGAACAGAATCCAGGCTGAGGGTTTCTGTTTGCTAGATAGTGTAAGTCACATACATCTGATAGTATGGTGGGATGTCTGAGATAACATGGGCACATGAGACAGCTCAGAAGGGGACTCTCAGGCCAGAAAGATCCTATTTGCCTCATTAACCCTGCACTATTTCAGAGAGATCTGCAAAGTTGATATGCAGGCTTATCCGATGGCCAGGACTGTTTTTTCAGTGACACGACATATGCAAGTGAGTGGACAGTGACTTTGTTGTCCCAAGCAGATTATGCTTAGATGTGGTTAACTGATGACCTGCTCAAATCAGCTTTTCTTCAGCAGGGTCTAGAGGGTGTATTGACACCATCCTCCCGCATGTGACTGAAAGGCTTATTGTAGTCTGGGGAGACATGTATCTCTAGGTGGCGACTCTGAGAACTAAGTCAAAAGCCTAAGGTTGCAGGTGCCAATAGTCCTCCTTCCTATGCTTTTCACCAGTGCTTCCTCCATCCATCTATAGCCAAAAGAATGTCTAATGAGAATGCTGAGGCTCAGTCAGTTCCCAGCATGAAAAGCTTAAAATAATGTTGGTTTTGTTTGGGTTTTTTAATTAAAAATTCCTTCAATTCTTTCTTACTTTGACTGCAGAATCATCTTAGAGAAAAGAACTCCATTTTGATATTTCAGTGACACCTAAAAGGTGATCAGATCCTTACCCTGCCCCCAGAGAGATTTTATAAAACTCCTAAAGTTTCACAAACACTTACGCTTTGGTGTAGTTCAGAATGAAGTCAATTCCCTTTTCATTGTCAAACTGGATGTCACGAGGCAGATCACTGTGAGAAGCAGCATCAATGCTCAGGGGAAAGCCTGGATGCCACTCTTTCCAGCTGAGAAAACAAGAGAGGTTGGACTAACCAAATAACCTTACCAGCATGAGAACTGTATCATTCCTTTACCTTCACTGCTTCCGTGACACACCTCTACAAAGTAAATTTGTGGCAGACACATTTGAGCCAAATCTAGTGACTTAGACCACATCAATACCTACCAGTACTCTACAGAATGCTGAAGCACAATGGAAGGATTCTATTTGGCCGCTTACACCTTCACAAAACTCGAAATGACTTAGTATCTGTGATATTTCCAAACACTTGTCATGTTTGATTGAAATTGTCAGCTTCAAATGTACAGGGAGAGAACAAAGACAGCTGCCCAATGGACCCTTGTTCTTGGAGCTACCTTTTTGCAGAACTGTGATACACCAGCTAGAAGTACTCAGACGTGTTTCAGTTCTCCAAAAGGCAACTCTATCAAGAAGATAGTCTTGATTCAGCTTCTCAGAAGAGCCTTGCCTCCTAATGGTCATGGCAGACATTCTGTGCCATGTATGTTCTTGCCCTGTACCCTATTTTCACTTCAAAACAAAAAAAAGGTGATTTCTGAAGAATACTGTTTCAAAAGTATTTCCAAGTTGCCTGCCATGCACAGACTGCACTGGATGCTACCAGTTATGCATTTGAATAGCAAATAGTTATTTCACTAGAATTACAAATACACAATGTTCCTTTTTGCATACATAAACAAAATGTTGCGCTGTAACTCTAAACCGTATTTTCCTCTGCTCTATTTCCCATAATCTGTAAGCAAGGTCTTTTCTTAGTCAAATGATATCAACACTGCACACACTAAGCCTCAGTCCATCACTTATGAATGGACCCTCTGTTCTTCTGATCCTTAGTCTTGTGATAGGGAGATGCAAGTCAAAAACACTTGTTATTTCAACAGAGATAAAAGAGTGTCTGTAGGAAAATGAAATATTTTATGGGTTCTGGAGTTACCCACTGATAAAAGAGCATTTTCCCATTGTGACTTCTAGTAGGAAAAATGTCTGTGACTATGTAAAGATGGATATCATAACTGCATTCTGATAGCACATTTCAGTCACTCAAACAGGGCCAGATCTTCCACTGCACCCCAGTGTAGGAACCAACTAAAACTAGCTTTCTGTAGCAGCCAAAAGCCTCCAGTAAAAGCTGACATGTTCAGAACATGTTCCAAAACTGTAGTACTGCTTGTAACAGGGAAATGAAATCTGCCTTCAAATCCTCCTTGAAAGCACAACTGTGCGTCAGAGCGCAGAACAGGGACTGTACCACTGAATTCCCACTTAAGCTTTCCAGATAAAGTTATCTAGGATTCATGTCTTTCGTAATGCCACTTACACCACGATGATCATCACTTACAGTGAATTCCACCTAGAGTAAAAACCATACAGGGCCAACATAGTAACTTACACTGTCTCTCATCCAGCAGACCAGTAATTACAGCAGTATGACAATCTGGACATACTCAGACCTGATGAGAACAGGCCCTGGACCATCTGAGGAGCTGTGGCAAACTCACCGATACATCTTTTGACGAGTCTCAAGCTCTTTGCGTCTGTGCTGCTTGAGAATCTGAGTCTTGTCATCACGGGCGAGCTTTGCTGTGAAACAGGGGAAAGGAAAGGGACAGGGTTATGAGATTCCTCTGCCTATCACTGCCCAGGTCTTGAGGAGGAGAGCAAAGTTTCCAAATCTTCCAAATTCTGATCTATACCTTTACAAAGTTTCTGTGCAAAATGCTTACACAATCTAGTACTTTGAGTAGAAGCACAGGTCCCTAAAGAATCTGTGGAAGGAAATAAGCTGCTAATCTGGCGCCTACAAGGGGCAATTAGCTCAAGCTAGGAACACCTGTCTCAACTGTATAAAAAACCTGGATTCCTAGTGTAGACACTTGATGTGCATATCGTGTTAAATGGTCTGAACAGGATCATGGGAATTAATTTTACATTTCAGTATCTAAAGGAATTTTCATCAATAAGAGGAATCATAAAATTGTTTAGCTAATCTTCCCTGCTATAAGACATCTCCATGAAACACCTATCCTCTCCCTGTGAGCTGTGCTCTCTGTTAGCTTTGAGTAATGATCATGTCTTCTCATCATGAGAACAGAAAGAAAACCCAGTGAGACTTCATTTCCAGGCAGCTTGCTCTTCTGAGAATGTATTCACTGTACCATTAAGTAACACAGGCTTCCTTAGTGATCAGAGAAAGTGCAAGGTACATGACTCACTTTACATACACAAATGGGAAGGAAGCTAAAGCCAGTTCATGGAAACAGTTGTTTGGAGTTTGGAGTTGGAAATATCAGAGGTAATACAACTGATAATATACGGCTAATGGTTTCCAGATGGCTGTGTTCAAGTTACCAATAGGATTTCACTTTCTTTTGTTCTTTACCTTACCATATCTGAAAATCACACAAAGCTGCCTTCCATGGCAGTGTTGCAGTTCTTATAAGTCAAATTATGAAAAATTGAAAGCCTGTCTGGAGACCAAAAATAAACTGACACATAGTTGCGATTGGAGCACAGAAGACTTCAAATGCAAAATTCCTCAGCCAGGAGTAGTCAAAAGCTTAATGGGAAGGTAAACATTTAGTTCCTACCACCATCACTCTGCATGTACTTCCCAAAATATCCACCTCAACTGCCAGTGCCCAGACCAGAAACCTGCTTGAAAAGCAGTCCTAGTCAGCAGGGAAAGCCCATTCCCTAGGATGCAGAAATGGACTGGCAGTGGGTCTCCATGTGAGAGACAAGATTAGGAGGTATATGGGGAAAGGGAAAGGAAAAGGAGAGGGGGAAGTACTCTGGATGTTCTGCAGGGAATAAGGTTTCTTACAGCTCTCACCTCTTCCATCACGAAGGACAACCTCCTTTTCATCTGTAATCCAGCGGTAACACGGGAACTCCAGATAGTCACCCATTGGCATTTTCACAGTGATATACCTGAGGTACCAGTCATCTTGGTACCAGTATTTCCGTTTCTCAATTTTTATTAGCTGAATTTCTCCAAGGTCTTCTTCTACAGTCACATCATAGGAGTCAACCTACGGACCAGAATACAGTCAGTGACCTACTGCACATGCAGGGAGAGGAACCAGCACTACACAACCATACTTGACTTTTCCTGATACGGCATGGGTACAATAGAACTTTCCAGCTTCTGGTAGGTGAAAAAAAGGAAGACCTATTATTCGACTTCAATGCAACAGAAAGATGCATAAAAGAACAACCAAAAAATTATATAACTGATATAGAAGGCAGTAGCCTGGAGAACATAAAGAAGGACTACAGAGCCCTGGGAGAGGTGGTTAGGGGCTCTGGAGCTCAGACAGTCTTTTCATCAATTCTCCAGGATACAGGGGAGGACCTTAAAACGGTTAGAAAGATTGTCCGGGTTAATAAATGGTTAGAGGGGTGGTGTCATAGTCAGGGGTTTGGGTGTCTTGAACACGGGACTCAATTTAGTAGGCCAGGTCTACTGGCGGCTGGTGGAGCTGGTCCGGTAAGAGTGGTTTTGGTAGGAGGCTTGCCAGACTGGTCAACAAAGCTTTAAACCAGATGTGTTGGGGGAGGGGGGCATCATTCCATCCCAACACACACAGTCAGTTGCCAGCACCTATAATAAATGCTTGGAGCAATGCAGAGATATTCCAGCTGCTCCAGCCAATGAGCTGGCTTCATTTGGAGTTGGAGCTCGGCTCAGATGCCTCTGTACAAACACCTGGGGAACAAACAAGAGGAAATAGAGATGTGTGCACGTCTACAGGGGTATGATATAATAGGCATCACAGAAACATGGTGGAACGGCTCCTATGACTGGAGTGTTGGAATGGAAGGTTACAGGCTCTTTAGAAAGGACAGGCCTGGCAGGCGTGGAGAGGGGGTTGCTATTTGTGTTAGGGATAGGCTGGAGAGTATGAACTCTGTCTGGGGACAGGTGAGCAGTTAATAGAGAGCTTGTGGGTCAGGGTTAAAGGAAGAAGAGTGATGTGAGACATTACTGTGGGGATATGTCACAGACCGCCTGATCAAGAGGAATCTGTGGATTAAGCACTCTATAGACAGATAGGAAAAGCCTCATGCCCACAGGCCCTTCTTCCCATGGGGGAGTTCAACCACCCTGACATCTGTTGGAATGACGGTACGGCCCATCACAAGCAATCCAGGAGGTTCCTCGATTGTGTGGAAGACAACTTCCTTCTGCAAGTAATAGAGGAGCCAACAAGGAGAGGTGCCATGATTGACCTTGTGCTCACCAACAGGGAAGGGCTGGTTGGAAATGTGATGCTCCAGGGTAACTTTGGTTGCAGCAATCATGAGATGGACGAATTCAAGGTCCTCAGGACAGTGAGAAGAGCATGCAGCAAGCTCACTGCCCTGGACTTCAGGAGAGCAGATTTTGGCCTCTTCAGGAGCCTGCTTAGTAAGGGTCCATGGGATATAGCCCTAGAGGGCAGGGGATCCAAGACTGTTGGTTGATATTCAAGGATCACCTGTTACAAGCTCAGGAGTGTTGCATCCCAACTAGAAGGAAGTGCAGCAGGAGGGCCAGGAAACCTCCTTGGATGGATAAGGAGATGCTGAGGAAAATTTGAAGGAAAAAAGAGTCTTATAAAAGGTGGAAGCAAGGACAGGTGGAGGGAAGAATACAGGGATGTTGTCCGGGAAGCTAGGGACCAGATTAGGAAAGCTAAGTCCCAGTTAGAATTGAATATGGCTAGGGATATTAAGGATAACAGGAAGGGATTCTATAGGTGCATTGTGAATAAAAGACAGACTAGGGACAATGTAGGCCCCTTCCAGAAGCTATCAGGAGAACTGGCTACCCTGGATTTGGAGAAGGCTGAGGTTCTTAATGACTTCTTTGCCTCAGTCTTCACTGGCAAAGGCTCTGACCACACCACCCATGTCTTGGAAGGCAGATGCAAGGGACTGAGAATTAAGACGTTAGGCACGCTGTAGGAGAGGATCTGGTTCAAGACCATCTTAACAACCTGCACATGCACAAGTCCATGGGACCTGATGAAATCCATCTGTGGGTCCTGAATGAGCTGGTGAATGAAGTTGCTAAGCCATTGTCCATCATATTTGAAAATCATGGCAGTCCCGACGACTGGAAAAAGGGAAATATAACCCCCATTTTCAAGAAGGGGAAAATGGATGACCCACGGAACTACAGACCAGTCAGTCTCACCTCTGTGCCTGGCAAGATCTTGGAGCAGATTCTCCTGGAAGGCATGCTAAGGCACATGAAAAACAGCAAGGTGCTTGGTGACAGCCAGCATGGCTTCACTAAGGGGAAATCCTACCTGACCAATCTGGTGGCCTTCTATGATGGGGCTACAGAACTGATGGACAGGGGTAGAGCTCTTGATGTCATCTACCTGGACTTGTGCAACGCGTCCAACACTGTCCCACACGACATCCTTGTCTCTAAATTGGAGAGACATCAATTTGGTAGAATGATCACTTGGTGGATAAAGAACTGGCTGGATGGCCACACACAAAGAATTGTGGTCAATGGCTCAGTGTCCAGCTAGAGACCAGTAATGAGTGGTGTCCCTCAGGGATTGGTGTTGGGACCAGTCTTGTTCAAAATCTTTGTAAGTGACATGAACAGTGGGATTGAGTGTGTCCTCAGCACGTTTGCCAATGACACCAGGCTGTGTGATTCGGTTGATACGCTGGAGGGAAGGAATGCCATCCAGAGGGACCTTGACACACTTGTGAGTTGGGCTGATGCCAACCCTATAAATTTTAACCATGCCAGTGCAAGGTCCTACACCTGGGTCAGAGCAATCCCAGGCACAGCTACAGGTTGGGCAGAGAAGAGATTCAGAGCAGCCCCGCAGAGAAGGACTTGGGGGTATTCGTCAATGAGAAACTTAACATGAGCTGGCTTCAGTGTGCACTCACAGCCCGGAAAGCCAGCCATATCTTGGGCTGCATCAAAAGGAGCATGACCAGCAGGTCGAAGGAGGTGATCCTGCCCCTCTACTCTGCTCTCGTGAACCTCACTTGGAGTATTGTGTGCAGTTCTGGTGTCCTCAGCGTAAAAAGTACATGGAACTGTTGGAATAAGTCCAGAGGAGGGCCACAAGGATGATCAAGGGACTGGAGCACCTCCCATATGAAGACAGGATGAGAAAGTTGGGGTTGTTCAGCCTGGAGAAGAGAAGGCTGCTTGGAGACCTCATAGCAGCCTTCCAGTATCTGAAGGGGGCTATAGGGATGCTGGGGATGAACTCTTCTTTAGTGACTGTAGTGATAGATCAAGGGGTAATGGGTTAAAACTTGAAAAGGCAAAGTTTAGACTGGATATAAGGAGGAAGTTCTTTACTGTGTGGGTGGTGAGGCACTGGAATAGTTTGCCCAGGGAAGCTGTGAATGCTTCATCCCTGGCAGTGTTCAAGGCCAGGTTGGACAGAGCCTTGGGTGACATGGTTTAGTGTGAGGTGTCCCTGCCCATGGCAGGGGTGTTGGAACTAGATGATCTTAAGGTCCTTTCCAACCCTAACTATTCTATGATTCTAACTTACAAAACACTTCAAAACCAGAGAAACATTTTTGCATTCAACCCATCAAATGGCAGTTCTGGTGGCACATGCACTAATAAGTAATACCAGCATAAGTAGAAATAAGTAATCATTTCAAATATGACTAAGAAGACACCATGTGGTGCTAGGCAATTCAGGAGAACAGGAATTGACTCTCTCTTTCCAAGAATGCAAACAGCTCAGAGGAAAACTCAGTAGCTAAGCGCTCCTCATAAGAAAGCTGAATTGTCTATGGCAACCATGGGAGCAGCAGCCAGAGCCTTCTCTGCTCAGACAATACTGCTAAGCTTCATGTTGTCAGAAATAGAAAATTCATTCTCTTGTGTTTTTTCTCAACACAGTCAACAATATTAAAAACCAACGAGCTTCTGATATCAAAGGGATGAAGTACAGTGTCAACATGCTGCAGTGCCTGTAGACACCTGCCTGTGTGAGCTTTGTTATTTGGTGCCTTACCTAGACACCACGCTCTACTTGTTCTTTTCAGAAGCATTTTTTTAGCCTTTCCCAGGCATTTGACGTATGCCTACTGTTACTGTCTTACTTGTTAGGAAAAGGCTAAGTCATGTATGGATCAAAACTGAAAAGTGAAGAAAGATTAAATTCCAGACAAGAGAAGACACAGGGAAAAAAAGAAAAATAAAAGAAGAAGAAATAATTTTAAGTGCTGTCAGGTGGCACTTATTATTTCAACTGTTACAAATGAAAGATTTATAGAAATTTTCACCCACGTGACTGGAAGAACACACATAAGAAGGATCCCTTGCATCCCTTCCTGTCACGTTTTAAATGAAGTTACCCACATTATCAACAAGGGCTAGTGTAGAGTACTGTACCTGGGCAGAAATAACCCCAAATACCAATACAGATTGGGGGTTGACCCACTGGAGATCAGTTCTGCTAAGAAGGACCTGGGAGTATTAGTAGAATAGTATAGAATTTGACTATAAGCCGGCACTGTGCCCTTGCCCCAGTATCCTGGGGAGCATCAGGAGAAGGGTGGCCAGGAGGTCAAGGGAGGTGATCCCCCCACTACTTGACCATGATGAGGTCACATCTGGAGTAATGTGTCCAGTTCTGGGCTCCTCAGTACAAGACAGACAGGGAGCTACTGGAGAGGGTCCAGCATAGGCCACCAAGATGATCAGGGGTCTGGAGCATCCCTCCCTCTCACAAGGAGAGATTGCAGGAGTGCCACACTGAAACTCGTATGAGGCTGTTTCATACTAACAAGGATATTGGAATTTCTTCTAATACACAGCCTAATTCAGTTTTAGGCACAAATATTTAAAATGGGCATAGACAGTGCTTGTTTTTCTTTGCTGAAATTTACCAGACTAAACTTAGCCTGAGCTATATTCTCTTCATGCCTATTAAAGCAAAAGACATTGAACTCCTTCTTCTAAAAAGGAAGCCCATCATGCCTCACATAAGAATTTGCAGTGTTTATGTCAATAGCACACTCGTACACACCAAGTGGCAATAAAGTGAGTCACAAATAGCGTGTTGGTCCTTGGCAAGCTTGGGATGACAGCATCTGTCTATTTGAGAGCTGAGAGCTAAAAATCACCGAGCTTTCAACCAACATTTTAAAATGATGCTTGTCACTTTTCCTTGCATTTCAATAGCAGAAGAGAAACAGTTATTTCTCCAGAGCCATTAAATATATGAATTTTAAACATTTTTTTAAAGTTTATATTGCTGACTCTTCAATCCCCCATGCTATGCCAGAACAGCTAAAAGGATAATGAGTAAAGGTAAATTCATTTCTTTGGTGATCCATGATTTCAAACCAGGTGTGGAGATTGAAAATTGCTGAGTAGCTTTTCTCAGAAATCACAGTAATAGTGCCTTGAGTCACACTGCTGACAGTCAGTGACTTGTGTCAGTGTGGCTAGGCGAATGGAGATTCCTCTCTCCCACAGTGCTGGTTTCCAGTACCATCCTCATCTTTGCCTATCACCTCACGTCCAATATTCTTGACTTCTCTCCTGCCAACTGGCACAAATAATTTTGGAAGATGGCTAGAAAATGTTGATAACATTCTCAGATTGTTTCTCATTCTTCAAATCTTCTTTCCAGAAATAGGCAGCACTTAAACCCTTTACATTTCGCATTCATTGCCCTGCAGCTCCTGGTTTTCTCAACAAAAACAGTGTCAATAAACCATTTGCCAGGCTCAGTTTCACTCTGAGTCAGTACTTCTGCAATTTCGTACATCTTTCCAGGACCAGATGACACTTTGCAGAAAAGTTTCTCATCACAGACTGTCATACCATGTACCTCAAACTCAGCCACATCCTGCTTGTGCCGCTCTGTATGCAATTACAACACAAAATGAATTCTCTCTTTCAGTTTCGCCATGATCTTGTTGTATTTGGCAGTGGTATTAGCTGCCTTGCAGAGACACAGTCCAAATGAATCTGCAAAACTATGTGAATTATTACCCACTTGTGTTTATCACTATAAAGGGAATTTAAACTTCTAAAGACTAATGCAATAACCTACAGATGCAAATAAGAAACTGCATCTGGATCAGATCTGCTTTGCATTCCATGTTCCATCTTCTCACTTGGTTCCAGTTGCAGGGCTAGTTGCATATACAGAGGAAGAATAAGGTGACCAAAGACACTGTCTGGATAGGGGAAATGTACTGCATTATTTTTAGCTGAAGTCCTTGTGAAAATCTGTTGCCATCAAGTGATTGGTATAGCACTTCCCAAGGAGGTATAAGTACTCCTTTTAGGTGCATGCATCTTCTGCTGTAGTGCTACTAACAGCCACAAAACTCCGTTCATTGCTTCTTCACCCAGCAGGGTCTGACACTCCCAGGTACCTCTCCTCCTGCTGGAGCTGGTCCCACAGCAGTTAAAGGGTTTCTGCTGAGCATATACTTAATGCTCACAATATGGAATTTTCTCCCTGTGGCAGGACGTCAGCCCAACAGGGTGTTCAGAGTACTAGACTCTCCATTACAGTCATTGCTTAAAGACAGTAAAACTCTCTTTTGTAGTCCAGGGATAAAAGCAAACTGACTGGTCATTGGAGATGCTGGTGCTTATCTCCTCAGCTGGGCAGGACTCAGCCCTCATAGGAGATCACCTGAACCCTAAGCTTGCAGGGCAATCTGAGGTGTTCTTCAGTCTGTCTTGCTACTGTTAAGCTTAAAATATGTGACCTTTCACCAGATAAGAGAGAAAGAATACCTGGATGTCTGTTTGAGTGATTCAGATAACAAGGTTCTAAGCTAATAAATGTTTAATCATGAAGGAAAGTAACTTCAACAGCAGCAGCTGCTAAGTCCTCACACCTGAATTTGATAGAGCATCTCCTCAGAATACTGGCTATAAATAACTGAGACCATATCTACACATGTCATCAACACTTACTCAGAACACTGGCTTCTGTTAACTATAGCTGCAGTGTCTAGTGCAGAAGAGGCCGGATACCTAACTTAGGCTGCGAACCCCATGGTTAAAAAAAAACCCAACACACCTAAAAGCAAAGCAGCATCATGACAATGAAGTCTCACTGGTACATGCAGTGGTAGGTCTCATTTCCAAAGTGATTTGTGAATGCTTCTTTAAAACTTCCAAGGTTGCTTAAATCTCATCAGATCTTTTGGAAACTGTGAGTTAGGTTTCCAAATGAAATACACATTCTGGGAGGTGAAAAAATGACCTGAGCCTATTATCTCCACAACAGGAAATAAGCAAATTAATGAGATTCAAAATCAGTGCTCAGAGTATTAAAAAATTACAGATGGATAGCCTAGGATAAGGCACAACACTCAGCAGAAATCAAGGTTAGAGAGAGTAGCATAAGGTCCTTTCCAACCCTAGCTATTCCATGATAGCCCGCTCCCAACTTCTTTCTCACACTTGCATGTTCATTATGTTTTCCAGCTTTCATTGAAGTTGCCCTGAATACTTCCCTTGGTAGGTGTTGCAATTCCCACTGGGAGCTCTTTGGTTAATTCCTTAGAGATATCAGGGCTCTACCAGTAACTACTGACCCTAAACATCACCTATAAACAAGGACACACTTTTTCTTAGTATTTGTAAGGGAAGTATGAGAAAACCTGAAAGCTCATTGTGTAAGCCAGTACCAAAGGGCCCCCGCTGTCCCCATGGCTGACTGACTATAGCCAGGGCTAACTCCTGGGTTGCAGGGATGTGCATGATTGGTGGCCAGGAATGGCAGCTGCCACCTTGGTCCCAGTGTCCTGGTCCAGAGCACAGGAACACAGGGACGAGAGCTTCAAAAAGCACAACCCTGGAGCAGTCAGTCCATCTGTTGGGGCACGGGGTGCCGCAGAATCATAGAACCACAGAATAGCTTGTGTTGGAAAGGACCTTAATCTCATCTAGTTCCAATCCCCCTGCTATGGGCAGGGGCACCTTCCTCTAGACCATGCCGCCCAAGGCTCTGTCCAACCTGGCCTTGAACACTGCCAGGAATGGAGCATTCACAACTTCCTTGGGCATCTCGGCTTTGCTGATCCGGCCCCAGGCCCCGGTAATGGAGATGTGCGACGGCTCATACGCAGTGAAGCCCCTCGGTCCCCGCCGGGGAGGGGCTGGGCGGCCGCGGGGGACACACAGGGACCTGCTCGGCTGCACTCACCGCGCCGCGCTCGAAGTCGTTGTAGAAGGGTTTGTCCAGGAGGTGCCTTTCGCTGCAGCCCTCCGTGCCCTCTAGGCTCAGGTACACGTAGTTGTCGGTGCCCGCGAACCACTGGCTGCCTGTGGCCACCGTGACCGTGTAGGATGGCATGGTCCCACAGCAGGGGCTCGGCTCTGCACGGCCCCACAGACCCGATCGGCCACTACTGAGCCGCGCTCCTGCCGCTAACCTTGCCCAGCGCCGCCTCCTTCTCCTCCGCCACGGCTCGGCTTTGCCCACCCCTTCTCCAGCGCTTGACACACCTACCCCGGTACCCTGCACAGCCCCGCGGAGCCCTCCCCGACACCCGCAGGCAGCCTGTGCTGAACAGCCGCTCGCACTGCAGCGGTGTCCCGCTGAAGTCGCCCCGCACTGCAGCGCCGTACCCGTTACAGCCGCTCTGCACTGCAGCCCTGTCCCGCACCCTGCACACAGTCCTCACAGTGCACCAGCTCCACACCAGCACAGCTTACGAAGTCCCCATACGGTATTCTCCTCTTGGTATCCTTCCACAGTTGCACAATCCAACACAGCAGCCAGAGCTCCCTGTATGCAGCAGAGCTCCTCTGCAGAGCAATCCTGCTCCTGCCAGGCACAGCCCTGCACAGCTCGGTGTGGCTCACCACCTCCAGGAGTTTCACCTACATACCCTCAAACTGCTCTGAACTCTAACCTCACTTCATCACCCCAGTTTACAGGCATACACTCTCTTTTGTGCCCAAACCTTACAGGCATACTACATTGACTCAACAATACCATGATCTACCCAACACGTACACAGAGTACATCCCAACCTCTTTATCTTTCAGTTATAGTCACAACATACTGCATCCTCATTATATACACCAAACCTGCAAATCCACGTGCAGCTCACCCTTTTCTCAGGTCAAGACCCCCCTATGCACCACTGCTGGCATGCTTTATTCCCTGCATTCCTCTAAGGTTTTCAAACACCCTGTTGTCTTTGCACAACTATGTGTAACACTAACTGCTGGCATATCTACAGATCAGAGCTGTACATACACAGCCGACCCTACATTTCCACAAAGTGCTCTAAAAATCCCACAATCTCACAATTCCCACCCTAAGTTTAATGAGTATCAAACACTTGCTACCATTAAGATATTATCATTAAGACAACAGAATAGCTGTCGGTGCTTCTGGGCTAGGAGTCCTATCTACCCCAGAGAAAATAGCCCCATAGGAGTGACACTGCACACTTGGCACTTAGGCACCAAGACCACCAATGCTATTCTGTATTTTCATCAGATGACCAAATACCACATGCTGTCACCCATTACCTCACTGATGATCCTCCTTCATGCTGCTGCCAGAAGCAGTGCATGATACTGTGCTGGAAGGAGACAGGCTGGGGCTTTTGCAGTTTCCCGTGTCCTTTCGCCATTCCCCCATGACCCCAGGTGCTAATTTCCTCTCTGTTGGGCAATGTGAATTTCTAGTGACAGATACACAGAGCAAGCTAGATTAAAACCATCTCAGAAGTGCTTTATTCATGCTGCACTTGACCTCAGGTGCTGTGCTGGATCAATTAGTGTATGACACTAATCATACTTTGGTTGTACTTTGAGTCTGGGGCACTCTCTGCCCACAGGTGAGGCTGAGTGGGCATTATTAGCCAGCAACCTTCAAATACTGAGGAAGAGAGCAACTAGTTGACACTTGGAAGTTATCCGTGGCTCTGCCCACCTCTGTTCTGGCGAGCCCATTTGGAAAGTGCCTCGTGACTCACTCCAGCATGCCTGCTGCATCTTGGACTGCTGGCAACCCTGCAAGATGTGCTTACAGCCTCCCTGCTTCGGCTTCTAAAATTGCAGCTACCCAAGATGTGTTGTGGCCTCACTTATGCACTGGCTGGTGGTGGTCACACAGCAATGGGGGCAGCCTGCAATGCCCTGGAAAGAATCCTTTTCTTCTTTCACAGAAGTGTGGTGATACTGGGCTACACTCACCCAGACAAGTCCGAGAAGGTCTCCTGCATCTCTTCTGTACAAGTAAAAACCCAACCATTTGGTATATTGTGACTTAGATTTCAGGGCTCTCCCAAATTCAGGGTATGTGTTTACATATAGGCATATATATATATATATAAATAAAATCAATCACTGTGCCTGCCTTGGCTCTACTGAATTGCTCAGCAGGAATTTCTAGTCTGATGCTGGTTTTTAAGCATCACCCAGCAGTGTAAGATTGCCAGCTGTCACAGGCACACCCAAGGTAGCTGGAGAATCCCAGCCCAGGGATCTGACTTCTCCTCCTTAGATTTAACCACAAGGGATGCTTGCTGCTGCACTGCGATCCCTGCTGCAGTCAATTACCCCATGAAAGCGCGCCATAAACTCTTAAGTTCTTCTGTGGTTTTATTTTCCTTTATATTAAGATTTCAAAGAAATACGATTCATTTTTTTGATGACTGCTCTCAGCCCTAAAGTTTCTAAATTTAGGCTCACAGCCTTCCTTGGAGGACATAACTGAACCCCTTTTAACAGGTGAAGTGCGTCAGAACCAGCTTTTGGCGGACACAAGGCCACCTTCTGGCCACCTTCATTATTGCTGCAAATATGGAGCAAAGCGGTGTTCAAACCTTGATGCGCGGGTTTCTCTGTTTCTTCGTGTTTCAGCTCTGATGCAGCGTTTGAACCCTGTCCCATTCCTCTGGGTCATCAGCTCTGTTTTCACACCGTTTGGTTCTCTTCTGTACAGAGATGTGACTGAGGAGTCTCCCTGCAGCTTTGGAACTCCTCTTACCAGCTCATTAAAGAAAACACTAGCCCTGTACATTGAAGTTGTGGGAATGTGTTTGTTGACTTTCCCCAGCGATGTTGCTTTTTGGTCTGTTCTTTAGCACCTCTCACTTTGTCATAACTTCCACCTTCAAATGTTTATTGATAATATTTACTGCTGATAGAATTCCAATTCTTCATCAAAATCCTGCTAAACAAAATAGCAGGATGTATAAAAAACAAACCCAACCATTTTATCAAGAGACTACATTATTTCAGCCCTGAGGAGACCCACACTGTATGAGACCCCAGCACAATTCTCTTCCATGTTGTATCTGATAGCTGCTTGATGTCAAACAAGGAAACCACTATTGGAAATAGTAGTTGGATCCCATAACTGGATCCAAGGTGTGTGTTCAAAAAATCAGACATTGAGATCAGACACAGACTTGCATTGCAGGGTTTCCCTGGCTCCCCCAACACCACCATGGATTCCTCCTGGCTTGACAGCTAAGCTGCACAGGAAAGACTGTGCTGTGCCCTGCACATGGCACATCTCCCAGGAATGCAGAGTGAGGCTGGAACTGCTCAGGCTGAGGAAGATCCTGACCCCAGGTCTCCATCTTCCTGTCTGAAACCACCAACCCAATTTCAGCCATCCTCACCACTTCTGGCTGCTTTTCCAGCTGCTGTGTTTTAAAGCAGACTGTCAAGCCCTTAGGTAAGGTGGTGAAGGGTATGAAGACCAAGGGAGATACAGCCTGTAAGACAGGCTTCTGGGCCAAGATGCCTAAGTGCACCCCTGCTCCAGGCCTTGAGAACCCATAGGCTGCACACAGGCCAGGTGCTTGGACACCACCGCTGTGTCTAATCCTGATGACTTCAGGCCAAGTGACTGACTTGAGGACCTCCAGTTCCCTCTGGACCATGGGTAGATTGAAATCCTGCTATGTCCAAGCCTGGGAGCAAGCAGGGTCTGTAATTGCCATGTGAATAAAATAAGCTGCATAGGTAGAGTGCAATATTAATTTGCCAGTGTGAAAAATGCAAATTGTCAGAGTATTCTATTCCTAATTATTATCAGTAAGTGCCTTCACACCAGACAGGGGTGTGTGCACACCTGCTGAGACCCAGGGCTGGTTTCTGGCACCTCCTTGCAAGCCAGGCAGTCCCACCCAGCCACTGACCCAGGCATCAAGCAGGCAGCAAGCCTGGACTTCTTGCTCCCCAAGCTGCTTTCTCGGGGAGGCTGTAACCATTCCCTGTATTGCCTCTGCACTCGAGCCCCCCTGCATCTCACCCACCTCACTCCTCACTTGAAGATAGTTTCATGAGGCAGTGGCGGGATCTGTGCACTTGCAAGCAGGGAGCTGGGAAACTGGGCTTTTAAAACACGAGTAAAACATTCCTGAGCTGGCTGTGTGTTAGTGGGAGGCTAGGACAGCCCCCTCCATGGGGCACTCATACTGTGCTGTGGATTTTGCTGCTCCCATCTGCCCAAGCATCACTCAGATTTACTGCATGAAAATTCACAGTGGAAGTCAGCTGCTGCCTCTCTATCTCCTTGCAATGCCAGTGAAAAACAAGGTTGTTCTGTGAAGACGTCACATACCTTATATCCCTCCTGAGGCTACAGGCAATTTTGGTGGGCAGATGGCTCCCTTGAAAGATGCTAATAAGGACTGGGAGCGTGGAGGAATGATACAATATGGTAATTAACAAGTGACAGAGGAGATCAGAAAAGCCTACAGAAATTTCCAGGCTACATAAATAATCTAAGGGACATGGGCTTAATAGCTGAGAACATACGGTTGCTAGCTGCGTATTGCTCCACTCTATCAAGAAGAAAAAGCTTCTTGTTCATAGACCCCTGTCCCAGCTCAGAGTGTCCCGAAATTAACTCTAGGATTGCAAAGCTCAGTACAGAGCATCCTTCCTCTGCTATTCAGGCAGCGACAATTCTGAAAACTGAATCTCTCATGACCCCCCAGTAGGGTTGCTATATCAATACTTACTACAATAACTTTATGCCTTTTGTGCAAAGGATCATCCAGACTGCAAGAGTCTCTGTGAGTCTTTTGCTCTCCCCATGAACTTCCTACCCCTTCTTTGAGGTTGTGCTCCTTGGATCCTCCATCCCATTAAGTGTGATGTTAGGACACCTTCCTCAGTCCTGAGGACTGTGGGATCTGGCACCACCTGACCTTGGCACTTCCCTCTAAATCTGCAGATCCTCTCACTGCCTCTGTGGATGTAGCTGTGCTACTCTGGCACTTTGCAAGGAGAGGAGAGGATGGAGACAGAGAGAAGGCAGCCTGGTTTCAGGCTTCCCCTCCCCAAATGAGTGAAGGGAGTAGCAGGTAACACTGCTGAAGGGGAGGAGAGAGCAGAGGCATGTGACAAGGAAGCCAAGGACATTGCAAGCACAGAGAATACAGCCACATTTGTGGATATGCTTTTGGTTTCATTTGGTCCTGCACACATTCGAGAACTGCGTATC